TCTAGAAGAAATAAACTCTTTCAATTAGAAACAGATCCTGTGTTATATGTATAACTTCAAAGTGTGAGATATTTCCACCGCTACCACTGGACTGTTTTGTAGGAAGTTATCTGGCATCTTAGAGGAATGTTCACCTGCCATTATTAACATATGGCTAAGATTTGGGCGTGGTGTGTGTGTGTATTTGTGAATATCCTGTTGACAAATAAGGCCACTTCTCTATCTCCTTAAAATCTTGAATAATGTGGCACTTAAGCACTCAGAATCACAACCACAGCTACTGATGAATTAAACTGGAGAAAGCTTAGCCGGCTTACCACTGAAAAACTGAACTTAACCACTCTTTGAACTTCAGTCTGGAAAAGGCACATTATGCCCGGTATTGTAAGAATTCTCTCTTTACTGAACAGGAAATGATGGAAACTTAAGAGTAATTTTTCAAATACCCATACTCTTTTCATGATCTTTCTAGTTAAGGCTTTGGCTTTATAGAACTACTATACATGTGATAACTTCTTGGTGATAGGAAACAATTTAGAGGAAAAAATAAAAGAGAGACTCCTAAAAACATCAGTATTACTAATGTTAACAATACAAAAACTATTCCCTTAAGATAGATAATGAACATGAATGTTTCATTAGAAAACGTGCCCTTCTTTTATTCTCTTCCATGAACATCTGCTGTTCCAACAATAAGGAAAATATATTCTTACAAATAAAAGGATAATAATACTGACTACTCATTGCAACTTCTATGCCTGAGAGATATTTATCAAAGTTATGAGAAAACATAAGCTGTTGATTTACCTCTTAAAGTAGGTTACATGTTTTAATACAACCTGCTATCCTTAAAAGAGGAGTGGCTTGATCATTATAAAAACACCAATATTGAGCACATTAAGCAGTAATATCTCAGAAAACTGTTTAAAAAGCAGGAAAAAAACTGCTGGAAAAATAAAAGAGACTGACTCTCAAAAAAATAAAAATAAAATAAAATAAAAAGCAGGAAAAAGAACTGTCAACTTCTTTTCTTGTGCAAAATCTGTAAATTTTAAGATGCCACTTTATGAAGTCAATCTGATGATCCATTAAATAGGTTACAACTGCATTATTTTAAACACATACATCATTTTAAGACCCCCCCCCCCCTTTCACATGTCCGCACGAACGAAAGAGGCGAATACTCCATCTTCCCGAGCCAAGAGGCTTTCTGGAGTGTCATATTCTAAAATATTTCCTCGCTTCATCACAATAACCAGGTCTGCCGTCAGAATAGTGTGAACCCGATGCTATGAGTAAAAAGAACACACATGTTTGTTACAAACTTCAAGGCACACGCCAAAACAATGGAATATGTATATTTTATAAATCATTCAGGGACATTTATTTCTCTTGGGGTGCCAGGAGATGCAGGAAGCACAACCCTTCTTTTTCTTCTTAATTGAAATTATTGTTTATTTACCTACTTTTAAATCCCAGCCTGTATGTATGGCTGGGTTTTATATGGGCTGTATCAGCTTGAGTGTAGGTACTATATCAGAGTCATCATTTTCATGGAACCTTAAGTAGGCTAATGGATGTTTGTCAAATGATTCAGTTCTAAGAGGGGCCATGGCGAACCAGTTGGGTCATACTTTAGTCTCAACAACTATTCTCTCTTGTGTGGAGTCAACTAATTCAGTGGGCTAGTACACAGTGTGAAGAACCCTGGAAAGTGATTGAATTCTAGGAAGACAATATGGGGCAGTCTACTGTGACATGCAGTATTAGAATGGATTTTCCAGGCCTTTAGACATGCAGTCTCTTAGTCTTTGGAGATCACTGCTAGCCCACTCACTGCACCGACCCACTCACTCACTTCTCCACTTTCCACATGGTCCCTTATGGAGAGAGCGCGTTGGTGTAGTAATTAATAATGATATAAAGCTACACTACGATTGAGCATATGTCAGAACATTAAGTGCCCGTTCATATACTCATACTTGGTGAATCATATCAGAACACTTCCTCAGCTGTGAGTGTTACTCTCTCCACTTTTTTTTTTTTTTTTGAGACAGATCTCACTCTGTTGCCGGGCTAGGTGCATGCATCAGCCGTAGCTTACAGCAAACCTCAAACTCCTGGCGCTCAAGCAATCATCCTGTCCCCAGCTACTCGGAGGCTGAGACAGGATGATTGCTTAGCCAAGGAGTTTGAGGTTGCTGTAAGCTAGCTGATGCCAGGCACTCTAGCCTGGCAACAGAGTGAGAGTCTGTCTCAAAAAAAAAAAAAGTGGAGAGAGCTAACACTCACAGCTGAGGAATGTTCTGATGATTCACAAGTATGTATATGAAGCACTTAATGTCTGACATATGCTCAATAAGTGGTAGCTTTTATCATTATTAATTACTACACCAACGCCTCTCTCCAAAGGGACCATGTGGAAAGTGAGAATGAGTGAGTGAGTGGCAGTGATCTCCAAAGACTAAGAGACTGCATGTCTAAAGGCCTGGAAAATCCATTCTAATACTGCATGTCACAGTAGACTGCCCCATATTGTCTTCCCAGAATTCAGTCACTTTCCAGGGTTCTTCACACTGTGTACTAGCCCACTGAATTAGTTGACTCCACACAAGAGAGAATAGTTGTTGAGACTAAAGTATGACCCAACTGGTTCGCCATGGCCCCTCTTAGAACTGAATCATTTGACAAACATCCATTAGCCTACTTAAGGTTCCATGAAAATGATGCCTCTGATATAGTACCTCACTCAAGCTGATACAGCCCATATAAAACCCAGCCATACATACAGGCTGGGATTTAAAGTAGGTAAATAAACAATAATTTCAATTAAGAAGAAAAAGAAGGGTTGTGCTTCCTGCATCTCCTGGCACCCCAAGAGAAATAAATGTCCCTGAATGATTTATAAAAATATACATATTCCATTTTTTTGGCGTGTGCCTTGAAGTTTGTAACAAAC